CCAGTGCAATGCGTCCTGCAAGCTCGCTCCGCTCGGTCTTCTGCGATGGTGTGACCACCGTCTTCCACCCCCGAAGGTCGAGGTGATCCAGGATGTCGTTGGCGCTTTCCGCTCCGACGCGGGTCTCGGGGAAGACGATGACGTCACCCAGGAGCGCGTCGATTTTTTTTCCGTTCTTCAGACGCGGCTCGCGCGCCGATAGGTTCTGCATGAAGATGGCGTGCTTGCTGGGACTCCCGCGGGGTAGCCCTTCCATTGCCGCCAGCGCGACATGCCTCCGCGGCCTCGCTCCCCTGGCTGAAAGCGTTGCCTCGGCGTCGCCATCAGCGCCTTACTGCCAGCTGGGTCTGCCCGTCCTGCAGAGCCCTCTGCTGGCTCGGCTGCTGCTGCTGCAGGCGCAGGTGCGGGTGTTCCCCCAGGTGCGCTCCCATCGCCCTTGACCACCTTCCGCTTCTTGTGGATCCGTTCCACGAGCTCCTTCTCTTTCTGTCTCTGCGCCTTGAGATGCTCAGCCGCTGCCGCGAAGGCCTGCTTCGCCGCCTGCTTCGCCGCGGCGACGAACTCCTTCTTGCGCTTGCCGGTCTCTGCGCGATCTCCCCTGTTGCTGTCCTCGCCGCCGACCTCGAAGCTGCGCGCCGATGGGTGGGAGAGGCTGCCACCGATGCTGAGAGGGCGCCTGCGAAGCCCCTCCTCGACCTTGGCCTCCACCTCGACTGCCGCCTCGGTGCGCCGGTGTGAAGCCGACTCCGCTGCTTGGGGCTCTTCCTTGAGGCGCCCCCTCCTGCGGTGCGCCTTCTGCTGCGCTGCCTCGCACTTCTGAACTTGATCCCCTGCTTGTCGAAGAGCTGCTCGCAACCCAGGCTCTGGTTGCGGGGCAGCTGCTGACAGAACTGGCTTTGATTCAGCAGGTCGATTCTCGAGCTTGTCCTTCTGGCCCCCCACTGCCGCTGCTGCTGCTTGCTCGAGTAGTTGCTGAAGCTTGCTTTTTCCTCCGTGACTGCCGTGACCTCCTGTCTCCGCCCCCCTGCGGGGCGCCCTTCCGCTTGCCTTTGCCACGAACGCCGGCGCCGAGGCTTGGCCAGCCCCATTCGTACCTGTCTCCATCGTGTTGAACACGCTCAGGTTCGCTCGTTCCATCTGGTAGCTCCGCCCCCCAGCTGCTGGCTCCGCACGTGCACTTGGAATTATCCCCATGCAAGCTTGTCCACGAGGAGCGACTTCCCACACTGTTGACATAATGCCTTCCGTCCTCGCTCTTGCTGCTGCTGACGACGCCATGGCCGCGCCGGTCCCCGCGGTCGTCGAGGAGCGCCCGGGAACCCACCACCGCCGCCAATGCCAGCAGGAGGAGAGGCCATGCTGCCCGACATTGGAGCTCAACCCTGCGGGCGCAAGGTAGGCGTGAAAGCTAGGTCCTGATAGCTGGCCCTAGACCTAGGGTCTCCGTGCGCTGCCACGGGGCTAAAACATCTTGAGCCAAAATGGCTGCGGACGGCTACTACGGCGAAGACGGCGACGACGACGACGACGACGACGACGACGACGACGACGACGACGACGACGACGACGACGACGACTGCGACGACGACTTCGACGACGGCGACGGCGACCACGACGACGACGATGACGACATTAATGACGATGACGTCGACGACGACGACTACGACGGCGACGACGACGGCCACGGCCACCACGACGACGACGATGACGACGACGACGGTGACGAGGACGACGACGACGATGACGACGGCGACGACAACGACGACGAAGACGACGTGCACGACGACGGCGACGACGGCGACGACGGCGGATACAACGGCGACGACGACGACGACGGTGACGACGACGACGACGACGACGACGGCGGCGGCGACGACGACGACGTGCACGACGACGACGACGGCGGATACAACGACGACGGCGACGACGCCGAAGACGACGCCGGTGGCGCTGACCTCGGCGACGACGGCGACGACGAAGACGACGACGACGACGACGGCGACGAAAACGACGACGACGATGACGTCGGCGACGAAAATTTTTGACGACGGCCACGACGACGACGCCGCTGGCGCTGACTCCGGCGCTGGGAAGGGGAAGGGGGGTTCGAACCCTCTCCGCCCTCGCGTGGGAGGGGAAAGGGTGGAAGGACGAGGGGCTAGCCCCCCTGGTTTTGTTCGGCGGCGCCGAATGTTCGGGGGGGGCGACCCTCCCCGGTTCAAACGCGCCGCCGAATGTTCCCAAACGTGCCGCCGAATGTTCCAGAATACATATATCTATGCTATATTCGCATCTATATATAGAGAGAGAGGGAGGGAGGGAGGGAGAGAAAAAGAGAGAGAGAGAGAGAGCTAGAGCGAGAGAGAGAGAGAGAGAGACAGAGGGAGGGAGAGAGAGAGAGGGAGGGAGGGAAAGAGAGAGAGAGAGAGAGAGCTAGAGAAAGAGAGAGAGAGAGAGAGACAGAGGAAGAGAGAGGCGAGAAAAAAATGCAACAAAATTCAAGAGGAGAGCAGGGAGACTCGAAGCAGAAACGGTAGCTGCTGCCGCGCACCCAGAAGAGGGAGGCAGAGAGAGGGACTTGCAGAGGAAAAAGCCGCACAGGCATAAGCTGCTGGAGGCCCGCCCCTGGCGGCGCCTCCAGGCCACTCCCCGCAACAAAACGCGGTCGCGAAGGCAAGCCATCTAGAAAAACTGCGTTGCAAGCAGACGATTCCTTGGCGAAGCGGGTGGCGTGCAACGCTGGTGGCACGCCCAAGGACTGGGTTTTCCGCCGGCGCGGGGGGAGACCCAGGCAGCAATGGGCGAAGTCCGCATACTATCTCGATCATGATCATCCTTTTTCCTTCCCTCTCTTCCCCCTATGGAGGCGCCGGCTCCGCCAACTTTGTAGTTTTGTTTTCTGCCCGCGCGTCCTTCATGGATGCACGGTTTTCTTGATTTGCCCCTGGCGGCGTCACTGGCGCCGCTTCGGGAGCGCTCCGCGCGCCAGGACTGGGCTGTCCAGCTTCGATCGAGAGATTCGCGCGGACCTCTGAAAGTTTATGCTGATGCCGTTATTTCTTCTTACGGAGGTGCCGCTGCCGCTGCGCTTCCCTCGCTGTCGCCCTCCTGGGCCTGGGGCGGCAGTCCTCAGCGCGGCCGGACCCGCTTCGAAGTCCTGGCCAGGGCGCACCCCGTGAAGGGGTCCGGGGGAGCAGCGGCATCGTTATGTTCTTGCTCCCGCGCACGCGCGTACAGAGCCGTTTTTGATACGTGCTCCGCGTGCGGATAATGTATTAACAATGCAGGGGTGTAGTATTATTAATCATGTATTAAAAGTCATATATATATATATACAATCCCATGAATTAAAACCCGCCCTGTACCCATGCCCATCGATTCTCGTCCCGCCTCCTTCTGCATCCCATCCACTCCAAGGGGCTTCAGGCTGGGATCTCTTTCGCAAGCCATGCCCGCATCTTTCCATGCACCCACCCCCTCCTCCATGGGATCTTCTGCGTTCTAGCAGTGGCGAAGCGTCCTGGCTCGCCTATAGCCCCACCAAAGAATGTTCTAAGAACCTTTTGTGGTTTCCACGAAATGTTCTAAGAACATTTCTGGCGGAGGCTGTCTTGTTTTCACACATCGGGTTTCTGTTATAAGAACACTGTTTTTGTTATTAGAACATTTTCGGGTTCTAAGAACATTTCGTGGTAGGACTATAGGAATGCCGGGACGGCCGGTCCCTGCTCAGTGCGTGCTTCCATCCCCCCTTCTGCCCTCCCCGAGGAGGGGACGAGGAGGGTGCAGGCGACTGCGAGACGAGGGGGCGGAGACGAACGTGTGCGGTCCGAGAGGATCCCAAACCTCCCAAGGTATTTCAAAACCGGGAGCACAGCCCGCGGAGTGGAGGTCGAAGCATAGATTCTGCGGCTCACGCCGGGCTGCCGACCCCTGGGGGGCCTGGAGGAGGAGGAGGAGGAGGAGGAGGAGGAGGAGGAGGAGGAGGAGGAGGAGGAGGAGGAGGAGTGCTGTGCGAACATGCTGGAACCTCAAAATCTTGCTCGGAATGAGCTCCGTTGGGAGAGGGAGGCTGTTGTAGGGCCTGTGGGAACGCCTTGCGATGGCGTCTTGGGGACATTTTTAGGGGAGGGCCTCTTGGGGACTTCTGGGGGCCTCTTGGGGAGAGGTTGCAAGTTTTGGGGTCAAGATGTATGGGATAGGCTGCCGATAGCCCTTCGCTTCCCCCTCCTTGGTCTCTGTGGGGGTCCTCTGGGGAGCTTCGTGGGCCGTCGTGGGTCCTTGTTTGGCCGTAGTGAGGCCCTCTTCGGAGCCTATGGGGCCGTCTGGAAGCGATATTGGGAGCCACTTGGGCCGTCTTGGAGCGATGAAAGCCCAACAAGGAGATCTTGCTTCCATCCTTTGAAAATTAGAGACCCGCCGATCGACGAATTTGGCACTTCAGGGACCCATCGGGAGCCCTCCTGGTTCGGGGGTCTTCCTGGTTCTTTCTTGGGCTCTCTCAGTAGTTTCTTGGGCTCCGTGGAGGCTGGCTTGGGCCGCCTGGGAGCCGACCTGCGCCATGTGGAAGCCATCTTGGGCCGCCTTGCGGACATGCTGCCCCGTCTTGTGGCCCTGTGGAGGAGATGAGTCCCCGGCACGTGCGGCCCGACCCCCTCTCCAAACCCGCCAGTCGGCGTCCCCCCAACATACTTATACTATGTGTTCGTCGCCCCCCCCAGGGGCGACGCGCGCACCGAGAAATCTTGTAGTATACGCGTCGTGGCGGGCGCTTTCTGGCCACACCGTTCGAGCAACGATATACTACAAGATGGGTATACTCTATGTTCGGGTCGGACGCGCGCCTCCAAGGCGGACGTATCGTATTAGTACGTCTCTGTGCGCCCCAAGACCGGGCTCCGAGGAAAGAGGTCGGGGGAGGGTCAACCATTTCACACGCCTAGGAACTCCAAGGGGTAAGCGAGTGTGGGAGATTCGGGGAGTCGCCCGAGCCCCCGCAGGAGAGCTCTTCTGCAAGCCGGGCTTCCTCGTGCTCGGGTGCCAACGATGCGGCACCAGGGGGCTCCAACCGCATCTCTTCAGTCCAAGATTTCCACGCTCCTCCCTTCTCCTCCCCCGTGGTGATGAGGGGAGGGGGGAGGAGGGAGGGGGAGGGATCACTGACCAAGCTGCCAGGCCTACGAGCTGGCCGCCATTCGACAGCGTTTCGGGGTGAATTTAGAGGCGCTGTGCACCCTTCAAATCGTCGGGACATCCCAACTCGCAGCCAGTTGCTCGGGGATGATGGCCAGGGGAATCACCTGTCGATTTCTCCATCCAAATCCGAAAATACAGGAGTGGCTGCCCAGTGTGGGGCAGCCGGAGGTGGGAGGAGGAGGGCGGAGGAGAGACGTGCAAAGGAGGACGAAAGAGAGATAGAGAGAGAGAGAGAGAGAAAACAAATAATGAAGAAGGAAGAAGCGAGAGCGGCAATGAGAAGTGTGAAGGAGGGAATGGGGGAGGGAGAGGGGATGGAGGGAGGGGGAGGGAGGGGGAGGTGGAACGTCGGACCGTGAGACTGTAGGAGGAGGAGGGGGAGGAGGAGGAGGAGGGGGAGGAGGAGGGGGAGGAGGAGGAGGAGGAGGAGGACGAGGAGGAGGAGGAGGAGAAGGGGGAGGAGAAGGAGGAGGAGGAGGAGGAGGAGGGGGAGGGAGGGGGGTCTCCCAGGCACATCCTCCCTCTACAGGGCCATGACGCAGCACCGGCAGATCAAGTACACGGGCCGGAAGGATCGGCCACGCGTAAGAGTGGCCTTTCGCCGGAGTGACCCTTGGTGCAGGCCCACAATTCGGAGGTGGATAGACCTCCTACCCTGACACGTCGATTAAGGTAGGGTATTGACCGTTTTCGGTTCGCGAGAGGGCGTCGCGGCCGTCGTTTTTGCGGGTCCAGGTCCGTCAGTTTCGGTCCTAGGCCGTTCTCACTAAAGGGGGGAGGTTTACTAAAGGAAGGTTTGTCCACCGCCGACAAGGGGGAAGCGAGGAGGAGCAGGCATCTCTCAGAAGGCCGGAGGCAGCATCGAGGAAGAGCAGGCGGCATACACATACACTTTTGGAGTTCAGCGCAAAGCTTTTGGATCTGCGCCGAACCCCCCTGGCGGCGCCTCCGGCCCCGCCCATGGTGCGCTCCGCGCGCCAGAAAGGGGGGTCCAGCGCGGGTCCAAGAAATCCGCGCGGACCTCCAACATTTTGTGTTTATGCAGTTATTTCTTCCTCCACTGCAGTAAGGTGCGGCACTGTGAACGTGTAGGCTGCGATGTGTTGTAGGCTATGTGGTGCGGGCTATGGGGTGTGAGCTGCGTGTGTGTGATGAAAGTTGTCTGTGTGGTACAACCTACGTGGTACAAGCCATGTGGTGCAAGCTATGTGGTGCAAGCAATGTGGTGTAATTCACCTGTGGAACTCGCAGTTGTCAACTTCACTGCTCGCGCAATCAGCCCACCCACCCACCCGCAACTTGTCTTGCAGAACACGAGCGGCGGCGATTGCCATGAGTGCTTGGTACTGGCTGCTGCATCTCTGCGGCCGCGCCAGCCCACGCATGCACACTTGCGCGCAGAGGCCAGCTAATTTGGCGCGACCGACGCGGCCGCGATGGCGTTGACCGCTGGCCACATCCCAGCGGGCACTTCAGTTCGAATCGGCGACTTTGGCGGGCGCGGTATCATGGCAACGTCGACAACGGTAGACACGATGATGATAGTAGCGATGCGGGCGACGATGTTGACAGCGACGACGGCGCCGTTGCTGATCACGCCGCCGGCGATGACGGCGTCCTCGCGTCGATGATGAAGGTTTTGGAAAGAGTTCGACATGCGCGCGCGGCCGACGCGCGAAAGTGGCCCGCATGCTCTGATTTGAAACGGATCGTCCCCCCCCCAGCACGCCCGCAAATGCGTTCGAATAATTTCCCGTTTGGCAGAATCCCATGAACATGCTGGACAACCCATGGCTTTCTCAAGAATTCGCAAGAGCGCGAACGCAGGCTGTTTTGAAAACTGTCGCTGCGACACCATATGTTTTTGTATGGCTTCGGGGCACTCGGATTTGCAATCCCTACGAAACCTTTTTTTTTTGTCGGGGGGGGGGGGGGGGGTATCGGCACGCGCGCGCAACGACGCGCGCGTGCGCACATCGGCCCTTTTTTTGCAAGAGGATCCTTGCGACTGCGCGCGCAAAGGCGTTCGAACGATTTCGACATGCGCGCGCGCGAAGCCCGTTTGGTAACATGTTGTGGAAATGCTGAAAACCGAAGATATTCTCAAAAATTCGCAACACCGCAAGCGCAAGTATGTGTTGAAAGCTGTTGTTACGAACCCACGTGTTTTAATATGTTTTTTGGACACTCGATATCAAAATCCTTACGAAACGCACGGTTGTTAGAAGATTCGGGCATGCGCGCGCGACGACGCGCGCGTGTGCATTCCGTCTCATGTGTGGAACACGTATCATTTGTGATAAACCAATGCGCGCGTAGTATTTTTTGCCAGGGATGAACGGGGGGGAGCGATACCGGCCTGCCTTGGATGGTACGAGCTCATATTTAAGATGGACGATAGGGCAGAATCGTATGCACACTGTAATACGAAAAAAGGGCGGATAGCCTTGGGAGGGGGGGGAACTTAATCGTTGTAAAGAGAAGCGTTTATGTGGTGAGGCGGCACGGGACGCAACGAGGAGGCACCAGTTGGGCACCAGCCGAATTCTTGACACACCCGCCCAGGGCACAAGGCTGCAGCGAGACGGCGCCAACCAGGCAATAGCCGAACCCCCAGGCATTAGCCGAACCCCCGACACACCAAACAAATTGTTGAGTAATCGACATAAGAGCCCCAACGTGCAAGCACAGTTTGGGGAGATTCCAACGCGCGGATTTCTTGGATGGGGCCCCCTTCCCTGGCGCGCGGATCGCGCCAGGGGCGGCACCAGAGGCGGCGCCAGGGGTCCCAGCGCTGACCCAAGAAATCCGTGCGGAGCTCTGACAGTTAGCGTGTGTGCTGTCAGTTCTTTCTTCCTCCAGGCTTGACCTTTCCCCAACGGCCTGTTGAAACCGCGCGGCGAAGGTATCTCTTATCTACGGGCGTCGATGCAAGAAGTTTGCGCGGAGCTTCGACAGTTTACGCCTATGCCTCGTGTCCTTCCTCTAGACTTGCCCCCCCCCCGATCCCGCCCCCCCCAGGGTTTCCTGAAGCCGCGCGCCGAACCCAGGCTTGTCGATGTCATGTTTTTGCACCAAGTCGACCCTGAAAGGCTTCGACCGATTCCCCAGGATCAGCTTTCCATCCTGAGTGGAGTTTTGGCGGTCCCGGGGCCAGGCGAGCCCCCAGAGGCCGAAAATTGTCACAAAACCTTCCGTCGTGAGCTTCTTCATGGCCCGTGGTGGTCTGGGACGGCCACTCCTGCCAAGGGCCGCTTCTGCCTGCCTGTAGCCGCAAGGACACCTTCTTCTGGAAGACCAGCAGGCCGGGCGTGGACCTTGCCAGGGAGAGGTGCAACACGAAGGACGGGTGCCCGGGGGGGGGCGCGCTCTGGCAGCACACCAGCACGGGTCCTGACCTGGCCAGTCCTGGACCCAGGGTAGGCCTGGTGGGGATCGGTCCAGGCAGGAGGAGGAGAGAGGAGGAATGAAGAAGGAGCAAGGAGGAAGGAAGGAGGAAGGATGGTTGATAAATTAGCAAGGGGTAAGAATGAAGGAGGAAGGAGGAAAGGCAGCAGGATGATGATGATGATGATGATGATGCTGATGCTGCTGATGATGATGATGCTGATGCTGATGCTGATGCTGATGATGATGATGATGATGATGCTGGTGATGCTGATGATGATGATGATGATGATGATGGTGGTGGTGGTGGTGATGATGATGATGATGGTGGTGGTGGTGATGATGGTGGTGATGATGGTGGTGATGGTGGTGATGATGATGGTGATGATGGTGGTGATGGTGATGATGATGATGGTGATACTGATGATACTGATGATGCTGATGATGATGATGATGGTGGTCGTGGTGGTGGTGATGGTGATGGTGGTGGTTGTGATGGTGATGGTGGTGGTGATGATGATGATGCTGCTGATGATGATGGTGGTGGTAGTGATGGTTGTGGTGGTGATCACGGTGGTGGTGATAATCCTGATGATGATGTAGATGCTGATGATGATGGTGATGGTGATGGTGATGCTGCTGTTGATGATCATAGTGATAGCGAGAGTGATAGTGATAGTGGTAATGATGATGCTGATGACGATGACGCCGATGATGCTGATGATGATGACAATGACCATGACCATGACGATAACGATGACGGTGACCATGACGATGACGATTCTGAAAATGGTGACGACGATGATGCCGATTGTGATTGTGCTGATGCTGATGACAACGATGACGATGGCGATGCCGATGATGATGACGATGATGTTGATGATGATAATGGGGAATGACGATGACGTTGATGCTGATCATGATGGTGGCGGTGATGTTGCCGACGATGATGGTGACGATGCTGCTGATGCTGCTGATGATGATGCTGTTGATGATGATGACGATGTTGGTTAGGACGATGATGATGGTGATGGTGACGGTGATACTGATGCTGATTATGATGGTGATGATGATGATGATGATGATGATGATGATGATGATGGCGATGGTGATGGTCATGGTGATGATGCTGATGATGCTGTTGATGAAGATTATGATGCTGTTAATTATGTTGATGATGTTGATGATGCTGATGATGATGATTATGGTGACGATGATGATGATGATGATGATGATGATGATGATGATGATGATGATGATGATGATGATGATGATGATGATGATGATGATGATGATGAGATGTTGATGATGATGATGATGATGATGATGATGATATGATGATGATGATGATGATGATGATGATGATGATGATGCTGGTGGTGATGCGATTATGAAGAGGATGAGGATGAGGAGGATGAGGAGGATGAGGATGAGGATGAGGATCAGGATGGGATGAGGATGAGGATGAGGATGATGATGAGGATGGTGAGGGCGATGCGAGGAGGAGGAGGAGGAGGAGGAGAGGAGGAGGAGGGAGGAGGAGGAGGAGGAGGAGGAGGAGGAGGAGGAGGAGGAGGAGGAGGAGGAGGAGGAGGAGCAGGAGGATCGAGTGGAATTGACAGGGGTCTGGAGCGAAGCTCACCTACCTTTCTGGAGCTAAACAAATGCACGGCCGAGACGGGGTCCTGCAGCCCCCGCGGGGCCCACGGCGGCGCCCCAGGGACCGCGCGGGCCCAAGCGTGTCCCAGAGTTCCAGGCCGAATTTAGCCCGCGAGGAAGGGCGCCCAAGGGCGGGGTTGCCCGCACGCGGAAGCAGCGCGCCAGGCCGGGAGGGGACCGAGCGCACCGCCGAGGGGGAGGGCGACAGCGCGCGAGGCGTTTTTGCCTCGCGCTCGAGGCGGGGTGCCAGCACCGGGCCCGCCTCCCCGCCTTCGCGCCCTGCTCTTCGGCCTCCCGCCGTCGTCCAGGCACAGCTGCTCGGGCCGCGCGCCTCGGTCGGGGCCGCCGCCTCGGCCTCCGCGAGTGGGGCGCACCCCTCGGCGGAGGCGGCGCGTCGCTGCGGCTTGGCGGGCGGATGCCCCGCCGCTGCGTTTTGCGCGGAGCCCCGCCGCGCGTGGCCCGTCCGCGTAGCAGCCGCGGTTGGCGCAGTAGACTAGCGAGCTGTCGCCCTCGCCGAGGGTCCGCAGGCTGTGGCTCTGCGCCATGCTGGCCCTCCACCATCGCGGCCTCGTCCTTGCCGCTGACGCCTCGTCTGCGGCTGCCGCCGCCGCTGCTGTTGCTGCTGCTGCGGGCCTCGCGTCTCCTCTGCCTGCGGCTGGCGCGGCGGCGTCCTCGACTCCTGCGCCTCCTTCCGCGGCCGCCTCGGCGTCTGCCTGCGCCGTCGGGGCTGCCGCGGCCACCGCCGCTGCAGCGGCTGCAGCTCTGGCTGCCCCCGCGGCTCTTCCTCCGCTGCTACGCCCCAGAGTTGTCGGCGTGGAGCGAGTTGTTCTCGGTCGAGTTGCTTCCGTTCGACAGGTTCGCCCCCCCCCGCCAGACGTTGTCCTGGCTGGGCGGTGGCCCGCTTGATGGGCCCGCCCCAGGGTGGGCCACGATGGCGTCGCCGTCGGTCGCCATGGTCAAGTGGGCGGCGCCCTCGGCGAGGCCGCGGCGCCCGTTGGCGACGCCGTCATCCGCAGCGGTCGGCGCCTCGAGCCGCCTGCGCCGATGCGGCGGATCGCTGGCCTCGGGCCTGGGCCGCAGCCGCGTTTGGGAGGTCGGGGCGTCGCCCCGCTGAGGAAGGCCCTGGCCGCCAGCGCCTCCGCCAGCAGTTGCCCCACCTTACCCCCCCGCTCGCGGCCTGCGAGATTTTGCGCGCGCCCCCAGCGCCGGGCGCGATCGCCTCTTGCCCGCTGCCACCGCGCGGTCCTCGGTCTCTGCCTACCTGTCGGTGGACCGCGGTCCTCATTCTTCTTCGCGGCGTGGCGCGGGCGCGGGCCGTGCCTCGGCGAGGGGCGCCCCGCCCCCTCGGTTGGGCGCCGCTCCGTTGCCGCCGCGCGCCCCATCCAGGAGGGAAAGGCTCGCCGCCTTCACTGGGCTGGCTCCCCGACCGCGCGCGGCTCCGCCGATGGCAGCGGTTTTGCCGACGGCTCCATGACGCCACCTCCTGGGCGGGCGCGCCCGCCGCCTGGCCTTGCTCCGAGCCGTCGCCGCTCGGCCCTGCGGCCGCGCGCCCCTCCCGGCGCCAGGGCCGCCCAGGATGGGTGCCCCGCCGCATTCGTTGGCACAGGCGTTGCGCACTTGGGGCGCGCGGTGTTGCTGCGATAGCTGCGTTGCGCGCCCGACATAGCCGCTGCCGGCGCTGGGCCCCGCCACCCCGGCATCGCGCGGCGTCGCGCTTGCCGCGCCCACCTAGGCAGCGCGCGGGCGCGGCCTCGGCTGCTCCGTTGCCGTCGGCTGCCGTCAGGAGGCCGTCGCGGGCCTGCGCCTCCTCGCCGATCCAGCGCGCCGCTCCCGCGGCGAAGTCGGCCAGCGCGGTCATCGGATGCAAGGCGGCCCCTTCTCGGCGAGCCTGAGGGGCCCGCGCGGCTGCCGTGATCCCGCCCCGCGGGCGCTCCGCTGGCCATGGGGCGCCGCGATGCCCCGCCCCGCGCGCGCCTCAGCCGCGCGGAGCCGTCGGCGCAGAGGCAGGCGGCCCCCGCTGGCGCCGCGTGCCCACTGCGGCGGCCCCACCGCGCCTCCTCGGCGCCCTGCGCCCTGGGTATCCAATCTGTCTGCGTGGGTATCAGCGTCCGTGAGAACTGCGGTCTCTCGTCGTCGTCAGACACGGCTGCCGCGTCTTCGATTGCCTGTAGCATCGAGCCGTCCGCGACGGCGGCGCGCCGCCCCCTCCGCTGCCGGGGCTGGGCAGTGCGATGCGAGATTCAGCTCTGCGCCGCAGGCGGGCCCGGGCCCGCGCGGCGCGCGACGTGCCGGATGCCGCGCATTGCCGCGTTGCGCGCGCTGGACACTTGCGCCCGCTGCGTCGCGCTTGCCTTCGCGCCTTTCATCTTGCGGCGCGGCCCTCGGTCCGCGGCGCCGCGAGCGAAGGTCGCGAGCTCGGGCGCCTCGGCTGCCGCTTCGCGCCGCGGGCGCGAATCTCTCTCGCGGCCCAGCCCCCCGCGGGTCCAGCTCGACAGTGGCGCCTGCAGCGGCGGCCCATCCGAGCCGCTCCAGCGCGGCCAGCGTCGCCGCGGCGCGGCGCCGCGCCCGTGCCATCTCGCGCGCGGTGCTCGGGCTGCTCGGCCCGAGCCCGCGCCGTCGCCGCCCGTTCAGCCCGGGCGCGCCGCGCGTCTCGCCGCGGCGCCGCCGACAGCGCGAGGCCGACCTGCAGCGAACGGCCCCGCGCCCCGCCGAGGGCGATCGCGCCCGCGGTCGACCGCCAGCGCCCCGGCTCCGAGCAGCCCCGCGCCTGGGCCCCGCATCCGAAGGCCGTCGTTGGCACTGGGGCGCGTGGCCGCGCGCCGCGCGACCGCGCCGATTGAGCGGCGTCGCGCCTCCGCTACTCGCCCGATCTGCCCCGCGGCAGCGGCGCCCCGCTTCGCGCCGCCGCCGCGGCGGCGCCGCTGTCGAGCGCGAAGTCGACCCTGGAGTTGCCCGTCGCGTCATTGGCCTTTCGATGCTATAGGGCCCTGCCCTTCGCGGCGGCCTAGATTGCCTCCGCTGCCCTGGCGCCCGCGGAGGGGCCTCGGTTTGGGTCGCTGAGATCTCGCGCCCTGGCGCGCGCGGGCAGGCCGCCGCCCCCGCCCCCGCCGCTCGCCTCGCGATGGCCCGCGCCGCGCCGCTCGCTCGAGGCAGGGCGATGGTGTCGCCGTATACAGCGTGCATGTCGGGCCTCGTCTCTCTCTCTCTCTCTCTCTCTCGGAGGAGGAGGAGGAGGAGGGAGGAGGAGGAGGAGAGAGGAGGAGGAGGAGGAGGAGGAGGAGGAGGACGAGGACGAGGAGGAGGAGGAGGAGGAGGAGGAGGAGGAGGAGGAGGAGGAGGAGGAGGAGGGGAGGAGGAGGAGGAGGGGAGGGAGGAGGGGAGGAGGAGGAGGAGGAGGAGGAGGAGGAGGAGGAGGAGGAGGGAGGAGGAGGAGGAGGAGGAGGAGAGGAGGAGGAGGAGGAGGAGGAGGAGGAGGAGGAGGAAGGAGGAGGAGGAGGAGGAGGAGGAGGAGGAGGAGGGAGGAGGAGGAGGAGGAGGAGGAGGAGGGGAGGAGGAGGAGGAGGAGGAGGAGGAGGAGGAGGAGGAGGAGGAGGAGGAGGAACTGTTGGCGACCCAGGACGTCGATTCGTACCTCGGCCTCTTCAAGGATGTGCCCGCCCCTTCGCGGCAAGGGTCCACGGCGGGCGCCCTCACTGGCGAGTTCAGCGGGACGCTCTTCGGGTGCGCCTGCTGCGCCGCCAAGCTGAGGGACATCTTGCCCCAGGCCCGCGATGACGTCGACGTCGTCGTCGACGACGACGACGACGACGTCGATGAGGTACATATTGCCCCAGGCCTGTGGCGGTGGAAGCCCGCGCGAGCGGCGTGCCCACCCCAGTTTCTCTTCCCTTGCCTCCTCCTCGCCCTTCCCCCCCTCTCCTCGCGCTTACCCCCCCTCACTGGGTCCCCGCCCTGCTTCCCCTCTCCGTCCCCTACTTTCCCCTGGTCCCGCCCCCCTCTTCGCCCCCAGTCGTCGCCGTCGTCGTCGTCGTCGTCGTCGTCGTCGTTCGCGTCGCTGCGCTCGTTCGTCTGCCGTCGTCGTTGCATTTGTCGTCCTCGCCCTCGTCGATCGTCGTCATCTCCGTCGTCGTCGGTGCTTTTGTCTCTCCGCCCAGATCTCGGTCCCACACGCGGGGGCGCGCGGGGCCGACCGAGAGTCCCAGAACCTCTCCTCCCCCTTTCTCCCAGCCCTCGTCACCGCTCTCCCTCTGCGCGTAGGGGCTCCTGTATTTTCGCGTCGCGGAGGCACGCCCGACGGTTCCCGCGGCGAGACTCCCGCCACTTGTGGCGAGGAGGCGGGTTGTCCGATTGCATCGCGGAGGCCACCCCTCGTCCGCTCCTTGATCGACCACCTCCCCACTTCTAGATGGAGCGGGAGGAGAGAGAGGACAGACGAGGAGGGGCGGGAGGACGGGAGATGAGCACCTCCTCGTGGCCTCCTCCAAGGGGGGAGGGGGGGGGGGCAGGGGAGGGGGAAGAGGGCCTCGCCGCGTCGGCTCGCTGGCCCGGCCAGGCAAAGATGGTCGTGATGCTGCGGGAGCCGATGGGGCGCGCCGAGTCGCGGTGCCCGGGAGTCTCGCTCTCGCCGCCGTCGTCGTCCTGCTGCTCCTGCTCCGGCTCCTGCCCCTCCCTCTCTCTCTCTTTGGTGCCCCTTCCACGCTCCGTGCACCTCCTGCACCTGCGCCCTCGGGCTCCTCGCCGCCTCCTTCTGCCCCTGCGCCTCCTCTGCCTGCTCCTGCTCGCTTCTGCCCCCGCTGCGGGTGCTGCTTCTGCAGCTGGCTGTGCTCCTCCTCTTCCTCCTCCTCACCCTTCCTCCCCTCTTCCTCCGCATCCTCCCCCTCCTGCTCATCCTCCCTTTCATCCTCTCCTCCCTTTCCTCCTCCTCCCTTTCCTCATCCTCCTCCTCCTCCTCCTCCTCCTCCTCCTCGCTACCCCTCTTCCACTGCGGTTCCGGGAGTCTGTTCGGCGCGACAACCCGGTCGTCAAGGATCGAGGGCGAAAAAGAACCCTGCGCCCAAGGAAGATGGAAGTCTTGTCCCCCACCCATCCAGTCGAGCCCGAAGGCACGGACGCCCACACCGGGTCCCAGACGTGCGACGTCCTGATGTTTTCAGTGCGCGGGCTTCGGAAGTCCTGACCCCTTCCCCAGGGCCGGCTCCTCATCCTGGGCCGTTCTTGACGGCCCCGAGGCCCGGCGAGGGCCCCCAGGAGACCGAGAACGGCCGACAACCCGCCGTCCTGATTTTTTCCCGACGCGATCATGTCTGGGAGCCATCCTCTGATTGGGGTTTTTCTCTGGTGTAATCTTGGCATCCCTCGCGCACACGCCTGGGGTGCGGAGCACCCTTCACGGGCAATGCTCAGCCCGCCTTTATGCTTAAGTCGGGCCTGTCCCTCTACAGGGGGAATCTTCGAACATAATCAAAAAATAGCCTGGGGACAATTTTTTGGAGCATTTTTGGACCACTTGGGGGCTATTTACCTAACAGCTCTTGCTGATAGGTTTCTAGTGGTCTCAAAAGAGAGCATCATGACTCCTCAGGGGGGTCTGGGCGGGACCCGGGGAGGCTGCCGCCGAAGCCGAAATCGCTTGGGACATCCTCGCAAAATCGCTCTTGGTGCTCCCAGAACTCCATTCCCGGGCCACATTTTGGATGCCCGGAGCCAGCTGTAGGCCACTTCGTGCTCTTCGACTTCCCAGAACTCCATTCCCGGGCCACATTTTGGATGCCCGGAGCCAACTGTAGGCCACTTCGTGCTCTTCGATTTCCCAGAACTCCATTCCCGGGCCACATTTTGGATGCCCGGAGCCAACTGTAGGCCACTTCGTGCTCTTCAAGTTCCCAGAACTCCATTCCTGGGCATGATTTTGAATGCCCGGAGCCAACTGTAGGCCACTTCGTGTTCTTCTAGTTCCCAGAACTCCATTCCTGGGCCACATTTTGAATGCTGAGGCAGGCTGATGCTGCGGCCGAGGCAGGCTGAGGCTGAGGCAGGCTGAGGCTGAGGCCGAGGCTGAAGGCAGACTGAGGCTGAGGCTGAAGCAGACTGAGGCTGAGGCTGAGGCAGGCTGAGGCTGAGGCTGAAGCAGGCTGATGCTGAGGCAGGCTGAGGCTGAGGCTGAGGCTGATGCAGGCTGAGGCTGAGGCAGGCTGAGGCTGAGGCCGAGGCTGAAGGCAGACTGAGGCTGAGGCTGAAGCAGGCTGAGGCTGAGGCTGAGGCAGGCTGAGGCTGAGGCAGGCTGAGGCTGAGGCTGAGGCAGGCTGAGGCTGAGGCTGTGACTGCGACTGCCGTTGCCGCTGCGACTGTCATCGCGAATGCGACTACGACTGCGAGAACAGCAGAATTCTACAACTGGATTTTCATCTGAATCTTAAGGGGAATGCTTTCAGATATGCTTCTACACATCGCTGTTAGGTTGCTTTGCCGGGATAATGTTTTCGACAGGCAATCGAAGCCTAACTCATGGAAAAAAGGGGCCCCGTTCCTCATTTGGGGTCCCTTAGGTCAACGCCCCGACTGTATCAAAAGCGGCACTCCGTGGCTCCGAAGAGGCCCCCCCCCGGCGGCAGCGCGGCCTTCCCGACGGCGGCCCGACGGCGGAGGCCCCGATGGGGGGCCCCCGCGGAGGGGCGCCCCGAGGGCCGCGCCGCGCCCTCGGGCCCCACCGGCCAGCAGGCGCCCCGCGGGCCCACGCCCCCTGGCGTCGCTCGGACTCTGGGCCTCCTCGATGGGGTCCGAGCAGATGGGGTCGGACCCAGACCCCCTCGAGCAATGAAAAAATCACGACGGGAGGTTTTTCGCCATTTTCGGCCTCGGGGGGCCCTCGCCGGGCCTCGGGAGCGTCAAAAAACGACTCAGGATGACAAACCGGTCCTGGGGAAGGGGTCGAGAACTCTGGGGTCGACGTAATGAAAAAATCATTACGTCGGGGGTCTGGGGAGGATCGCGCCGCATCGGCGACGCATCGCCGATGCGGCTCGATGTGCAGCCCGAGCTGCTTCCCGCCAACGTCGCCGATGCATCGCCGACGTCAACGATGCATCGCCAGTGCATCGCAGATGCATCGCCAGTGCATCGCCGGTGTATCGGGCCCGCAGGCGCCCCCGGGCCACGCCCCTCGGCATCGCTCGGGCGCGTGCCCAGACCTCGGGCGTCTCGAGAGAATCGAGACGGAGGTCTTTCACTAGTTTTTGGCCTCTCGGGGCCCTCGCCTGGAGAAAATCGAGACGGAGGTCTTTCATCGTTTTTGGCCTCTCGGGGCCCTCGCCGGGCCTCGGGGCCGTCAGAAGACGACTCGGGACGAAAAGCCGGTCCCAGGGGAGTGGTCGGGTTGTCGGGACCCCGCGTCTCGAAAAAGTCGAGACGTCGGGTGTCCGGGCGTGCCTTCTTTCCTCGGCGAGGGCCACCCTGAATCCAGATCCCCGATGCCACAAACCTTTCTGCAAATTGCACAGTAGTCGCGTCCCCGAAGCCAGAAACCACTGCAAATCATTTTATATATTCGCGCCACCGAAGCCAAACACCCTCCGAAATTGATGCTGGTCCTCGCGTGAAGTCCCGACATTGCCTCACGTCAGCGTCCAGACATCCCAACGCTCTGGCAAGTCCCAGTCTAAGAGGAGGGGGGCCGGCGGCATCCCTGACTCCAGATCCGCCCTACTGTGGCTTTTTTTCCATCCTGAAGCTGCGTCGGAACTCCACCTATGAGGAGCCGGAAAAAAGCAGTGCGGATCCGGAGTCAGGGCGGATCCGGAGTCAGGGCGGATCCGGAGTCAGGGCATGGAGGAGCATCCTGGATGACTCGGCGAGAAGTGGCATCGAGAAGTGCACGAGGGATGGGCGTCCGAGCGATGGCAAGGCCCCGCCGCCAGGCCCATGCCTCGAAACATGAGCGCGCCCTGGCGAGGCGCCAGGAGAGCCAGCCTCGCGAGCGGATTCTCTGCCCTGCCCTTAAGTCGGACCTGTCCCTCTACAGGGGGAATATGCAAAAATAGTCCAAAAATAGTTTGGGGGCGATACAAAATAATATTTTTTTTTTGAGCATTCAGGGAGTATTTGTCGAGTATGTTTTATGTTTCGCCCAAAATCCCCCTGTAGGGGAACAGGCCCGACCTAAGACCACGCCCCGCCGCCAGGCCCACTCCTCGAAGCATGAGCGCCCCCTGGCGAGGCGCCAGGAGAACCAGCCTCGCGAGCGGATTTTCTGCCCTGCCTTTTGCCCTCCTGCCCTTTTGCGGACGGGGCTGGGGCGATGATACATCCGTGCCAGAGCGTTCAGGAACGCTCTCAGAGCGTTCCGGAAGGCCGCGACGCCCGATACATGCTCCAGAGCCGCCAGATCTCAGAAATTGTTGACGCTCCGCGTATCCCCACCAGCCTGCGCCCTGGCTCTGTGCTGTTCGACCCTTTGACTCCGCGCGGGTGCCCGCCTGCGGTCGCGATCAAAAAGTATCCCCACCAGCCCCCCTGACATCCTGGTGACTTGCTCGTCGACCAGCTCCAGCTAGCATGCTCGCATGTTCCTGGCCCCTGGTCCCCAGACTGCCACAGCCTGGCCGTGTTTTGCAGCTGCCGCCTTGCAGTGGTGGGGTGCACCTCCACGTGGACTGGTCATGAGTGGTTTAGCCTTCTTGTTCAACCACCTGAGGTCGCCACTGTTGGCATGCGACACAGGTACGCTGGGCTGCTTGCTCAGCCCCACGCTATGCCTGCTTAGCTCGGGTGGCTCGTTTACCTCTGGCGCCTGGCGCGACAAGGTACAATTCGTTTGCCTTCCTTGTGGTCTCGCCCCTGGAATGGTCGCACTTCAGCCGCCTGGCACACCTGGCACCTCTTGCAGCTCTGCCTCGGTCCCCAGCGTCGCTCCTCGGCGTCCCTCGGCGGCCTTTCGTTCGCGCGCTTGGGTAATTAGCTTTGGCTCGTAGCCCGGGCTGACTTCGGACGCCGCCTGCGCTTCCGCTTGCGGCCGCGACGGAAAAAATCTCCACCAGCCCATCCAGAAACGGTGCCCAGGGGAGCTGAAGTGATCAGGGAAGCGGGGGGGGGCACGCAGAAGAACAAAGGGCAAGGGAAGCCGCCATGCACCCCGAACATCTTGAATGCTTCTCGGAGTCTTCTCGGATGTCTCTGGGAAGCTTATTGGATGCCCGTTGAAACGTTTGGGGAAGCTCTTTGCGGGCTCAGGGCCGTCTTTGATCGTCTTCGGCACTTCGGGGATTATCTTGAGGCCTCTTGGGTGTCTCTTGGGAGCCTCTTGGAGGCCTCTTGGAGCCGTTTGGGCGCTTCTTGGGGCCCTTTTGGGGCGCTCTTGGGAGCTTTGAGAGCGCTCTTCGGGTCGTTTTGGAGGCCATCGATCAAACAAAAGGGGAGTTCCAATTAACGCTCCCCCTTCGGGAGCCCCAAACATCGCCTCTTGGGGCGCTCTTGTAGCACTCTTGGGCGCTCTTGGGACCGTTTGGGGGCTCTCTGGGGGCCCGGTTGGCCCATCTTGGAACCATCTTGAAGCTTCGGATGGCCATCAAAAACGAAAAAGGCGAGAACGTAAAGCACATGTTTTATTTCCTAGGCTTGGGAACAATTTTGTTTTTTTCGAGGCTTCCTTGGGGAGCTCTTTGGCTATTTGGAACCGCCTTGGAGTGTTCTTGTGGCATCTTGGAGCTTGCTGGAAGCCATCTTGGCATCTTGCGCTATCTTGATCCGTATTGGAGGCCATCTCGGGCTCTCTGAGGCCCTCTTGGGGCCGTCTTGGGCCATGTCGGACGCCCCGACCGCTCGCGGACCCCCCCGTCCAGGCCCAGGGGAGGGTTCGGAGGACGGGTGGTAAAGCCCTCCCCGAAGAGGAAGAAGGGGGGTGGAAGAGGAAACGCCCTAGACCACCTACGCCCAGAGGGCTGGTGGGATTCTCGATTCATCCTCACCCGATGTTACCCTTGTTGTAGTACCGTCTTACCTTACGTCCCCTCCGAACTCCATAGGCACCGCCCAGACCCCCCACCCCGTTCTGGAGCCCAAGAAGGCCCAACCAGCCTTCAAGAAGGCCCGAGATGGCCCCAAGAGGACCCCCAAGAACGCCTCCAGAGGCCCAAATCACAGATTATCCTAAGGCTTTTCAGGGGTTTTAGCTTTCTAGCATCTTTCGATTCTCAGAGGCTCATGACGGCCCAAGCAGCTTCCAGAATGGTCCCAACACGACCCGAGAAACTCCCAAGAGGGCCCCAAAACGGCCCAGAGACGCCCCCAAAACCGTTTCCGAGGCCCCAAAGCCGGCCAAGGGGACCCCCAGAAAGCCCCAAAGCGGCCGGGAGAGGCCCACTTGACGGCTTCCCACAGGGCCAAACCACGCAAACACGCTTCAAGACTGCTTCTAAGAGGGCCCCAGAAAACCCCCAAACAGCACCCCAAACCCCTAAGAGGCCCCCAAAGGGCCTGTCCATGCGATCGCACCGAGCCGGGGTGAGGAGCAGAAGGAGGAGGAGGGAGGAGGACGGAGGAGGAGGAAAAGGAGGAGGAGGACGGAAGAGGAGGAGGAGAAGGAGGAGGAGGAAAAGGAGGAAGGAGGAAAGAGAGAAAAGAAGGAGAGATAGGAGGAGGAGGAGGATGAGGAGGAGGAGGAGGAGGAGGAGGAGAAGAGTGGAGGAGGCGGAGGAGGAGGAGGAGGAGGAGGAGGAAGGAGGAGGATGAGAGGAGGAGGAGAGGAGGAGAGGAGGAGGGAGGACGGAGGAAATGGAGAAGCTTCGTCGTCGGCCACTCGCATTGCTCGACTGGTCGCCTGCAGCCCGCCCTCGTCCTCTAAAGGGGGGGGGGGGCGGGCCTCGGCGGGCCGCGGCGCCTGCCGTCCGCGGAGGACTCGACCTGGTCGGCCTACAGGGAGGCGCAGGTGCCGAAGCTGCAGGCCTGCCTCGAAAGGGCCGGGCGTGACGCGTT